GTCTTGTGAAAATATGAAGTCACTGCGGCTGAAGTCCGTTGAAGTCTCTTGAAGTCTTTTGAAGTCTTGAAGTCCGCTGTTTCCCCCTTGCTTAATGGCAAAGAAAATTTATTTCAAAATTATATGTTGACGATGTTATCTATTCTGATTACTATCAATTTTCTGCCTTATGTACTCAGCAGGATTTAGAAACTGATATAAGTTTCTAGAGAAAAAAATCATTGTTTAATTTGACTGAACCTATGCTCACCTTACATGGTCGTTAAATGTAGTGGATTGTGACCTTCATATGACTACTGTAATAATACAGAATAAATATCTTTTAGTGCATAAAAGACGTAGAAGAAAAATCAAAAGTTCAATCTGAATTTGAGGCTAAAAGACTACAATATTTTTCTAATTTGTAAATGAAATTCTAGTTTCTATGTTATCATTAGTCTGTTTGATCTCAAACTAATCCTTGTTACAGATGATGATTTAAGTCCTTTCCTTCAATAACAATGTATTACTAATCACTATTGATCTCAAAATAAACTACCGGTTTTCTATACTAGTAATTAATAGTGAAAACAAGTTGAATGAGGGCACACATTCAAATCTCATACAGTTTGTTCTTACTAAATAAAAGATGTATTCCTTGTTTTCGATGAGAATCTATACATAATCACTTAGCGGTATTTCCCTCAGATCTGTAATATAACTGGTGTATATCACGGATCTATATGAGTGATATAGAATAGTTAGAGTTTTTCCAATACATACATTAATGTAACAAGTAAAGGTGAGTTTGAAATTTGTTTTAGGACTGCCAGTCATTCGGGCATGCAATTAGTGAAAATTAAGAACAATCAATTAAAATAACTCTTAATACTTATTTATCTCATTCACACTGGAACAGAAAAAAGAATTGTTTGATTCTTCAAAAAAGAGATATAGCTGACAAATGAAGTATTCTGTCAACTGATGTGTTTCAAGTTTAGTAGATAGATAGTATTAAAAGGCAGACGGTTTTTATCGAAGTACGTATTGATTCATAATATACGGTACTAGAATGAAATACTGAAGAATGGTTTTAATATGAAATACAATGAAAAGAGGAAATGATGGTATTTAGCAAGCTGTTTTTTTTGTTGTTTGTTAAATAAAACCTCATTGAATAGTCTTTTTTCGATTCAGTTTTCACTACTACATAGATAAGAATCGATTGCCTCTAAATTGTTTGGAATATAAAAACATAGGATACTAAGGATGTTTTGTAAAAATAAAAGAATAACTTCTGGTTGTAAAATATATTCGATCGAATGCATCGTTTGACTTTTTAAAGCAATATATACATAAGTGAAGAATATAATCTACTCGAATCTTCACATTTTCTCGAATTTAGTTTAATAGGGATCAGTTTAGGGAGGAAAAAATCAATTATTGTTTGAAGATGAGTAAATGCAGATTTCTCAATTCACCTTGATCTTTAACAACGTTGTTTCGTAAGCGTCAAGTTTTGGAAGATATACACTTGATTGTTGGGTGTGGGATGTGGGTGTGGGTGTGGGGGTGTGGGTGTGGGGGTATGGGTGTGGGTGGGTGTTGATAAAAAAAAGATAGTCGCCCACACCCACCCCACACCCCACCCACACTCACACCCACACCCTTAGTTGACTACACTGGACAGTTTTTAAGACAATGACATTCTCTATTTACTCGTATAAAAACCAACGTTAAAAATAATTTTTGAACCCATCAAATTGATAAAAAATGAAACTTTGTCATCTATTTATGGAATTTCTTACTTTTCTCTTATAGGAAACAATTTCAGTCTTTCAAAAGAATCTCTTATTGATTTTGATAGTTTATATTGAATTCATTTGTTGCAAAAAAAGAATTTGAAGACTGCTAATGTATCCTTATTTGACAAGCATGAAAAATTGTAAATTTTCTATTATTTGATACGCTTGTGTTTAGGTTTATACTTATGCGTTGAAAACTAATTCAAGTGATATCTAGAGAGCCTTCTTGACAATTAAGAAAAAATGAATTTTGAATTTAGAGTGATAAAAAATATGAAGCATTATCAGACGATATAATTACTTGTTCGAACACTTATTCCTACATTGCTAATAAATGAGAAATGAACAAGAAAATGAAAGAAAGAAATTCAGTTTGTTTTTGTATAAATTTGAGTGTGACTTAAAGATTTCTATAAAATCTGAATATAAAATAATTTGTCTCATAGTTGGTCTTCAAAGAAATAGATGACATATCGCTCAAACATTTTTTGTAAAACACTTCTGACTTGAGCTCGTCTTTCTTTCAAAAAATCGATCCTTGTTGAGAAGCATTCAAATCACATGAAATAGGATGTAAATGTGAGATATCCAAATTCATTTTAGAAGATATTTTATCATTTTACAAATGTTAGTTATAAATAAGTATTATGTTTATTGAATCTCTTATGACAATATTCGAAAGCTTGATTCAAAAATAGAATAATTTGAAAGTTTTCAATCACATATATTCAATGGAATAAATGTTTTTATCTTACTTTTTCGTCAGCAGAGGACATCAATTTCTACGGATTACTGTAGGCAACTTACGGGGAAACATATTTTCGTTAAAATAATTTCTAAACTTGATCTGAAAGTTGCAGTAATATTAATTAATCGATGTAAAGTACGCAAATGTATGGTGCATAATACTGGTTCATTTCACTATTCTGATCGTACTCTTCTTATTTTCGTATAAAATCTTCAAAGTTTTACAACTTCGAAGAAACAGATATTAGAGTTAACTTGAACAGATAAAGTTTTGAAGCATAAACGACACAATACGTTCATCTAATTTTTTTTTCTAAACTAAGTATCCATTATTATCATGAGTACTTAGCTTTCAAATTATATGTCTTGACATTTTTAGACCATTCCATCTTGTGTCTTCGTAGAGAACGGTCGCATTTTTGCTCGCTCTCTATCATATTTCTTTCTTCACGTTTGCGTGCTCTCCTGTGTTATCGGAGAAGCAACCTAATGTCTTCAATCAACCCTCAATTAGCCGAAAAAAATGTAACGAACATTAATTTTGTTCCTACAGCTCAACTAAACTCAAACGAAGTAGAGATGAACGAGCAATACTCGTCCAATGAACTACAACAACAACACTATGTACAATCTAGGACAGACTACGATCAATATAGCATTCAACAGAAAAATGATCTTCTCCGTTCATTAGCACAAAATCCTAACATGCTAAATGATTTCTTCCAATTTCTGGAATATACACGTGCTCGTAGTATACAACAATCCTGTCTACCAGTATATAATAACCTTAGGAATCAAAATCAACATCAAATTCCATCGCTTCTTAACCTTGAAGTAGATAACCAGTATAAGTCATCAACTCCCAAACGGGGTAGACCTCTAAACGATAGTAATGGATCTATCAGTACGATACCCAAACAACAAAAAACAAGTCAACATAACCCCATACCAACAGAGGTTATGACAACGACAGATCAACAGATACGAAAACCACTTCCCTTCGTTCAATTAAAACGAGCTGTATCTTCCAATTTACCATGCTTTTTCATTGAATTTGAACAATCAATAACTTCACATCAGCTTCCATCAGCATTTGAAGCTAGAAATATCGTTGAAAAACATTTCAAAGACCTCAATGTTAGTGTTCAGCAGTTCTCACTAGTCGGTTGGTCCGGTAAACGATTGAAACTGGGAGTGAACAATAAAAAAGATTACATGACGTTAGTAACGACAGAAAAATGGCCAACGACAGTTAAAAATATACCAGTGAAAATTATTAAACCAAACTATGTTCCTGACTGTTTTGCCTTAGTTGTTCGATACGTACCACGTGATTTAGAAATAGAAATTGTGAAAGAAGAAATCAATCGTATTATTACATCAGCAGATAATATTAAACAAATCCATTATGCATATGTACGAAGAACTAATGACTATCGGTTCACGGTAACAGATTTAACAGAATATAATTCAGCGCTCGAATTGGGTCGTATCTCCATTTGTAATCACTGGCTATCAATCACACCATTTTTATCTGGAAACCGTATGACTTATTGTACAAAATGCTGGCGAATCGGACACGTACGTGATCAATGCAAAACAAATATACAACGATGTCGTGTTTGTCTAGAAGAAATAACAAAAAAAGAAGAACACCAGTGCACGAATATACCAAAATGCGCACAATGTGATGGTGAACACCATTCGCTTCATAGTCAATGTCACATCATTCAAACGTATCGTGCTAATCTAAAAGAAGACGTTACAAAAGCTGTAGAATCTGGTAAATTACAGCGTATCACCTATCCTAAACAACCAACTTTTAGTGTTAATTATCAAGTATTTCCACCTATGAACGAACATAATAAGCCCCAACAGCAACAACAATTTGCATGGAATCATACACGAACAGAAACACTAAACAACGAAACATCGAACGTAACACAAGTACTTGCAGTCATCAATGAAAATCTAGTAGTAATGCGGGAAAGTAATATGAGAGTGGAAGAAAAATTGGATAAAATCGACGTTAAAGTAAATCAAGCAGCTCTTGATGCAGAATTACACCAAACTACACTTGATAAATTAATTGACTATATACAATCACTTATCGAACATGTTTTATGGCCCGTAACAAGTCAAGTTAAACCGGATCTGCTCCAATCCGCAAAAGGTCTCCAATCTATTCTTACTAAACTTGGTTACCTTAAATTATCCTTATGTGACGATTACAAGATTAGACGTAAACGTGCTGAATCACCACCTCCTACTCACGAGAAATCGAACACATCGAAAGAAAGAAAGAAAGAAAGAAAAAATGGTGGTTCATCAGTTACAAATCAATCATAAGTAGTTTTAAATTTTTGCTTAATCCGCTTGCAATGCCTTTTTTCTCTAAAAATATGTGTTCTGTCAATCCAATACAACAAGCTTTACATCATCTAAGGCAATGGAATTTTTCATTAGGCGATCAAAAGCTAGCTTTTGAAGTTTTGAAAGATTGGTATTCAAATGCATCTTTAAATTCAGTTCTAAACCAATGGGAGAATAGCAATAATATAGTGGTGCAAAATAGTGTCAAGGAGACAATCAAACTTTTATGTTATAATATAGAAGGATGGGGCACAAGAGCACTTGAAGCCATAGAATTAGTTTACAAAATAAAAGCATCCATCTGTGTTTTCACTGAAGTGGGTGAGCTATGGAGCATAAATAAAATACCACATTTCAACGTTTTTTATCAAAAAGGTACTAATCATAGTGGAGGAGTGTGTGTAGCAGTAGGAAAGCATTTAAGAGCATCACGTATTGAGACAGACATACCGAATACAGTAGTTATAGATATTATAGGACTCACTGAATCCGTTCGTATCATTGGTATTTACTGGCCTAACAGCCAAAAGCGTAATCTAGATGACATTCGTCCCTTTCTCGTGGATGGTACTATTTTAGTTGGTGATTTTAATGCAGCCGTGAAGGAATGGAACAGTCCATCAACGGATTGCAGAGGAGCGTGTCTGAAAGAATGGATTGAAGAGAATAATCTTAGTTACATACCATCTACATCACATACGTCAAAACGTTCGCTGCGCAACATAGATATGACCTTTTCAAATATGACAACTATTTCATGCGAAACAGTACATTTTGGTACTAGTGATCACTGGCCTCTTGTATTAACATGTAATAATATGTTTTTCGATATGAGTAGCTCCTTCTCGTATACTAACTGGAGAGTATTTGAAGCTATTTTAGTATTGTTACAATCATTTTTGGCAGAAGAACAAAAGAGGAACACCATTCAAGAATAGTATTGTCAGTATGTACGATTCTTGGCAGCTGTTAAGATCAGAGTGACGAAATGGAAACAGAGAGAAAAATATAGACCCACGCTGCCAAATTACATTGTGGAGAAATTAAAAGAAGTGAGAAAAATAAGAAATAAATATTATCATCAACGTCAAAGAGGGAATGTATGCGAAGAAACAAGAATACTCTTACGAGTCTTGTCAAGAGAAGTAAGGAATGAGATAGGAAAGTATAATGCATCTCAATGGCAAAATTTTTTAGTTACAATCCAACAGGCACATGATAATAAAGAGAAAATATTTTGGTCATATCTTTCTCGCATTTACAAGTCACGAACACTACCATTTTATAAACTACTGAGTGGCAATGAAGTGGTATCAGAACAGAACGAAATTATAAAAGAACTACATAAGTACTATAACGAACAGTTCAAGGCACCTCTGGTAGACTATTCTGACCCGCACATATTGGAAGTGGATAGTGATTACGCTGGTGTAGTGAGAATAATATTAAATTGTAAAGAACAAATGGAAAAAACAAATGCAATAGAGATAAAGCAGTTAATACGATCCCTAAAACCAAAAAAATCAGCTGGTTTGGATCAGGTTTCGAACTTTATGATAAAGAAACTGCCTCCAGGTTATATAGAATGTCTAGTTAAGTGTTTTAACGAGTGGTTAACAAACTGTAGCTTCCCAGATGAATGGAAGATAGCAAAAATAATAACCCTAAATAAATTAAAAGCAGGTACCCCAAAATGTGATAATACACGACCTATCTCCTTACTAGCAACTCATTCAAAACTTTTTGAAAAATTGATACTAAATAGAGTTAGAGAATGGGCAGAGAAGAATCATTTAGTACCAGTGGAACAATCAAGTTTTCGTCCTAAGTGCCTGTTACCTACACGAGTATTGTCAATATACCAAGAAGTAAAAAACAATATGACAGCGAACATTCCTACACTAGCTATTTATGTAGATTATCAGAAAGCGTATGACCGGGTGTGGCATGCAGCTCTTTTAGTTAAGTTATGGAAACTAGGGCTGCCTCTCAACATGTTGAAAATGTTACTATCGTGGCTAAAAGATAGAAAGGCGTATGTAATGTACGGAGAAGAAGCATCAGATACCTTCGATATTAATATCGGACTCCCACAGGGTAGTAGCCTTAGTCCATACCTATTTATCGTGTTTCATTGTGATCTAGTTCATTGTATCGGAGCTCATTCAGGTCATGTTTTTGCCGATGATTTATGTGTTATTATAAAACCTCCTATCTCAAGCAAACTAGCACCCATGCTAGAGTATTTAGAAAAGGAAGGTACACGAATATGTAATCAGATCTATGAATACTCTCAAAAGTGGAAACAACCTATAAACATAACGAAAACAGTTGCTCAAATATTTTACACACAAATTAAAGAGCCAAAAATAAATATAGAGATGAATGGTCAAAGAATTGAATTGGTAAATGAATTTAAATACTTAGGATTTACATGGACTAGTAAACTATCATTAAAACCAACAGTTGATAGATGTATAGGAAACATTCAGAAATCTCTAGGAAAGCTCAAATGGTTAAGGACAAGACAGTTTGTGTCCACAAAGGCACTTAGACAATGTTTCTTTGCT